TTCTCTCCCTAGTTAACTTCTAACGTTCCTCCATCGCAACAATTTTGTGATTGTGATAACTTGTAAATGTTCATTTTTCAGGTGTCACCCAAATGATTCATCAGAATCATTTGATAGGACAGTTATTTCCCCATTTTAGAATAAGACCCTCTACTCAGCTGAACTTAAATCTTTCTTAGAACAAAAGAGATAAATTGGGCAAAGTAGCAATTGCCGGTATGCCAGAAACCATAATTGCACTTTGAATAGGAGGCAACAAAATATTGCTCCCAGTTACAAAAGGTGAATGCATTTTCAGCTGTTAGTTTCCAGGACTAACAGGTAGTTTTGTGGTAGTCCCATCAATTCATACTAATAACTGTTGAATTAACTATCCATCCCCCATTACAATCCAAAAACAATTTAAGGAAGCTTAAATAATACAAAATAGCATAAATAAAAAGTGGACATTTAAAACAGGAAAATAAAACTAGAAACAAGGATTTTTATAAAAGCAATTCTACAGGTAAAGAGGATCGCTTCCTAATAACATTTTATCTGTATGAATATAAAATCTGTGTGAATATAAATTTACATAGCCTCAAACTGTATAAAACAAACATTGATAAATCTTTTGAAGTACAGGCGGAAATATTATGGACTGTTGGTGGAAACATGCAAACACAATCATGGTCGAAAGTATTAATACATCTCTCTCAGTGACTAATAAAATAGACAAAAAAACAAATTCAGTTAGGAAATAGAAAATTAGGAAAACACAATAAATAAAATTGGCATAAAAAAGTTATGGAGAATACCACAACCAATAATACAAAATACTTTTTAATTGCAAGATCACAGGGCATTTACAAAATTTGACCACTGATAGGACATAAACACAAATTAAATTAAATTAAAAATAGAGAGCAATACCTAAAACTTAAAAACAAATTGAAATGAACCTAATTCTATATTAAGTTCATAAAATAACTATATAAAACAAGGAAATTATCCCATGTAAACTTGGTACATAGAATTTTGACTACACAATGCCTATGGGATGTACCTTAAAGATAAATGAAAACCCACAGAAGTCTTAAAGATCATTGGATTTTCTTATTTTCAGTAATATTATTATTATTATTTTGTTGTTAGTTTCAGGTGTACAGAACAACGCAATAGTTATCCTTTTCACCCTTTGCACAGAAACAACCCCCTTCCCCCATCTACTGCCTCCCACCCCCCGATATAATGCTTATCTACAAATCCATTGACTCCATTCCCACACACTACTCCACGTCCTGTGACTATATGTATATATAATTATAGTTGACATACATTTCAGTAATATTATTACTGATATTATTATTTCAAATCTATTGTGAATATGTTGTAGAATTGCTTAAATACTAAAATTATTAATACTGTTAGCAACTGCGATTTCCAGAGTCAGAGGAAAATACATAAAAATTAAAGAAGTCAAGTATAAACCTTATCATTCTAAATCTCTATTTAAAAAATCAATAGACACTAATAATTTCCCCCTGTTTTAAAATATACCCATGTCCTAATCCTACACACTGAATAAGCTAAAAACCATGGCACAGATTATGTTCTATAGACTCAAAGAACTTTTAGGAGAAATGGCTATTTAAGATCTCAGATTGGAAATGTACAAGGTAAATCTGAAGACCTTACTCTACCACAAACCAAGGAAACTAAGTTACGGTCATGTCAGAAAAAAATAATAGCCAGCTTGAAGGGGCCTCCAATTAGCCAATAAAAAGACAATTTAAGCTTCAAGAAAATATTGGTTATGATTGAAAACTCCATTAGACATTAAAATATCATGAATGAATGATAATACAAAAAACTACAAAAGTTTAAAGTGGCACAGAGTATGTTCTCTAAACACAATTAAGAATAAAGAAAAGGGGGCCGGCCGAGTGGCGCGATGGTTAAGA